TGTTTTCAAGGGTGGCTCCGCCTATGAGATTATTGGTCATTTCCAAAAGATATCGAGACTCAGTATATATTAACGTCGTCCTCGAAGTCGATTGTACAAAGTCAGGGAAAATTCTATGAATACCAGTAAGTATTACAACAGGGTTTATAGGTTTTAAAGTATCTACAACGTCTGTGATTTTGATCCGTTGTTACTTAGAATTCCAAAGAAACAAAGATGTTCCACATAGTGCATGTCCATGTGGGCCTGAGTTTTCATCTGCCTCCTTTAAACGGATTTTCCTTGGGCTCCATGAATTTACAGCCGTCGCCACATAAATTCCAGAAGGTGTCTAACGCGAAACCAAAATGTTCAGCCGTCACCTTCGGTTGAGTTTCGGAGGTTTGACCTTCATCCGATAAATTCGCGGCTGTGACATGGAGCCGTCCAGATGTTCATACCAGCAAAACCAACCTATCTCACTTCTAAATGTGGCTCCCAATAAACCTGGGAAGTGACTAGGAACTTGGAGTTAGAGCCTTTAGAAGAACCCCCGCCGAGATCAAAGCCCCACGCCAATGCAGCGAGCCTGGGCCTCCTAAATCACTGCTGCTCAACACCCTTCCCCCAAACCAAATGGGAAACAAAAGTCGAGTGAGTGAGTAACGACCCCCCAAAAGGAGAAGGATGAGTGTGCATGCTCGCCAGAGACAGGTGGGCTGTCTCGTCTGTCACCATGAGTGCCGCACTTAGATGCGAGCCTTGAAAGCTAACAGAGCATGATGGCAGAGGATAAATCTTCTATGAAATACACGCGTGACCTTCATGCAAATATAAGATGGTGTGCGTCAGAGATGTGACCTCACTCATGAAATATTGCAAGAGCCAATCGTGCGTTACGGGTGGATCCAAGGAGAAACGGAAGAATTATAAATGTGGTCGCACAGGACAGTAAGGAATGAGCAATTTCCACTGGCTCTCAGAACCACATTCCGACATTGACTTTTCAAAAATTGGGATGTATGTGACATTTTCTTTTCATCGTTTGCCATTCATTCAATCATTCATTCATTCAGCAACCACTCAGAACATGACCGAGAATGTTGCATAACGATGTCCGCTTTTGAGGCCGAGTGCATCGAGCTGTGCCTCAGTAACAACAGAGGGGCGCACGTACATTGGGTCCTGTTCGCATGGCTTTGTACATGTGCACACAAGGACATACGAGAAAGATGGTGAACCCTGGCAAATGGCCACACGCAGCCCAGCGTCTGTTTGAAGACAGCTGGTGAGCTAAGAAATATTCTCACGTTTTTAAAAGGTGGAGAAAACGATAAAATTTCATGACAGGTGAAAACCTATGGAAAACAAAAAAATAAATTCTATTGGAACGAGGCCACGCTCTGTCCTCCGCTAGATGCCGGGAGCTTCCCATTACCCGTTGTGAGGACCAGAAAAAGGTCTCCTGTGACAGCCACGTGTTCTCACAGGAGCAAAGCTGCCCTCAGGTCAAGAACCGCCAGCCTCATCCTTTTCCTGGACAACAAGTTACTCTCCTCTCCTGTCTGGGTGTTGAATGGCGCTAAAGACACTTGAGTTCATGCAGCTGGTTGCATTATGTAGAAATCAGTACAGAAAAGAAAAAAAAAAAAGCATAGATTTTGCCAGCGAAGATCAAGAAAGAATCACACTAAGTTACACAGAGACGAAATGAATTATGTAAGACTTTATGCCCAAAGGTAATGCAATCATGACGGACGTTGCGGAGGAAAGTACATGATGTATATGGGTTTCGTTCGTTTATCTATTCATCGCAAATCTTTACTGAGCAACTGCTCTGTGCCAAACACCAGTCCAGGCTCTGAGAATGCCACAGTAATCAGAGAACAGAGTCGATGCCCCAACAGGGCTTACGTTCTGGTGAAGGAGGCAGACTCTCAACGGATAAAAGAATCAGTATGTAATCGCGTGTCGGGGTATGGTCTGAACACCAGAGCACATCGATGGCTGGGAGGGGGACCCGGGAAGGCAAGGCAAGGCAGGGCCAATGTTCTAGTCTCAGCGGGATGGGAGAGAATCAAAAGGCACAAGGTAGACAGCAGCAGGACTCAGCTTTCATGATTGAAGCATCTTTCCAGTGGCCACTTGGGATGAGGGTAGAAGGTGCGGAGAGATGATGGGCAAGGAGGGGAGGGTGCTGCTTAGATGGGAAAACAGAGCTTATATTCTGGAGGGATTCTGAAAGTGACAGGCTTCGCAGGTAGTAACCAGACATGATCGGAAAGTGTACGGTTTCTATAAAATCTGACATAAACCTTATCTTTTAACACATAGTCAGAAAGCTACATCATCAACATTACTTCTGGGTTTGAGGGGGGAGGCGTTGTTTTTGGGGGGGTGTTTTGTTTGTTTGTTTGTTTGTTTGTTAACACTTCTGTCCCAATGTTTGTTCAAAATAAATCTGACATAAACCTTATCTTTTAACACATAGTCGGAAAGCTACATCATCAACATTACTTCTGGGTTTGGGGGGGAGGTGTTGTTTTGTTTTGTTTTGTTTTGTTTTGTTTTGTTTTGATACTTCTGTCCCAATGTTTGTTCAAAACATTTTCAAGTTGCGGATCTCTATGCAGCAGCATGTAGGGCACAGTGTTCCAAAGCTGACGATGCTTCCTCTACCAATTTGCTGAGCGATGCCACGTCCATGATCAACGGCGTATGTGCCTGAATTTCCCCACCAATAAACGGCCCTGTTATCACCCACCGTTCACCTCATCCACCCACAGATTCAGAGAAAAAACCCTGCACGTGCTTCAGGAAGCTCAAAAGCAGCACAAACTCTCCTTATCCGTAAAGGTATTCCACGATGGTAATAGCCCAAGGAGACCAGTTTGACAAACATGTAAGACTCCTTCTCAAGGATGCAGACCACAGATAACCCTTAAATTTATGTCCGCTCCATGATCTATTCCAAAGTTTCTGCTGGAGTTAGCTGTGGCTTATGGATTCGTTCTCCCTTTCAGGAAAAAGGAATTGATTTCTTTCTTGTGAAATTCGGTCTCGTGTGTCAGCCTCGATCATTCAATTACAAGATACGGCATAACAACCTGAGGTCCCTAGGGCTCCCATTTTTCTTAATTAAGATATTTTAAAGGTAGCTCAAAGGGACGAATTTCGAGCGTGTCAATTTCAGCTGTGTGAAAAAGAATTCATTAATTTCTGCATGGGATGAGGAGAAAAAGTGTGCTTAAATGCGAAATAATACTAATACGACAAATTATCATTTACGTAATTAATATCCAACTAATACAAAACTGGACAAAAACACTACTTACGAAATTTAGTCAACCTCATGGCTACACACACACATACTTACGAAATTTAGTCAACCTCATGGCTACACACACACACACACACACACACACACCTTTTCCTGCATTAAACTCTAGTTAAAGAAGGACTACAGTTGTCTCCGCCTTATTCAGAGGGGACACATCCCAAACCCCCCAGTGGATGCCTGAAATCGCGGATAATATGAACCCTCTACACACTATGTTTTTCCCTATACATACACACCTGCGATAAGGTTCAATTTATAAATTAGGCACAATAAGAGATCAACAACAATAACTAATAATAATATAGAACAATTATAACAATAGACTGCTAAGTGACGAATGGGCGGGTAGGGTACTCGGTGTGGGCACTCAAGACAAAGAGATGGCTCATGTCCCAGGCGAGATGGGGCAGGACAGTGAGAGATTTCATCACGATACTCAGAATGGCACACAATTTCAAACTTAGGACTTCTTTCATTCTGGAATTTTCTATTTAATAATTTCAGACGAAGGTTGACGGCAGGTAACAAACTGCAGATAAGGGAGGAGTACTATAATATAATAGATACCAGAAAATGTCTCATCAGAGCAAATGCTTCTGATATATTAAAAAAATAAAAGGATCATAAACCAGACATTTCATTTCTGCCCAAGATCTAGAGAGTCAGAGCTAAGCAAGCTTATTTTTGCCAAATTATTTCGCATTCACATAATAATTCTATTTTACTTTTAATAACATTCGTGTGTATTAAATGACACAATGCATGCATGAATCTGAGAATTGGTCAGTATAATAAAGTTTTAGATTCAGGAATATTATTCTACCATCATTTACTTTGAGATACTATGTTTGAAAGACATTTCAAAATAATAACGTTCTTCATAAACATACTATTGTGCATTGTTCGGATGAAATTTGGGGTTATTAAATAAAGAAACAGTTCAGTTTTAAGCCTAATAGTAATGTCCATGAAATAAAGCCCATCAAACAGTATTACGGTCCCAAGTTTGCTCCAATATTTTTAGCGAGTTTAAACCACTCATTTATAGAATCTGAATATAAAACTTACTTCTGGGCTGGAGCGAAAGGGTCCTCATATTGTGATGTTTGGGGGCTGAGGTAAGAAATTTGTACTCTTATACATATAATTGAGTATAACGACAACTTTAGAATATTTGTGTGCAACACGAAATACTCAAAAAGGGAAAAGAGACAGTTTACTCAAACAATCCAATTATTTAACCAGTGATTCTTACACGTAAACAAAGAACATGAAAAAGAACATAGCTGTAAGCAGAATGCGTTAAATGTTCTGTTCTAATGGAAAGATGTTTTCTCCTTAAGCGTTTTTTTAATTAAAAAATTACAGAAGAGAGAAATAAGGTCGTAGCTACAGATATTGATACGTGTGTCTCAACTGCGGTGGTGGCTACACTAACCGAAGAGACACATGTGATGAAGCCTCATAGAACTATATACATTGTACCCATGGCAACTGGTGTTGCTTTTGATATTGTCACACTTTAAAGATGCATAAAGTGTAACCATTGGTGGAAACTAGGTGTCGAATACATGTGATTTCTCCGTACTACTTTGCCAGTTTCCTGCGACTGTATAACTATTCCCAAACTAGAAGTCTTTTTTTTTTTTTTTAAATATTGATACAGTAATAAAGAACATACCTTAGAACATTGCTTGTGATTCTGGCACCAAACCAGGGAACCATTGTTCTGCAGGAAGAAAAAGAAATATTGACTCATGAAATAATTTTCTAACTGAAAAGTACACACACGTGTGCGCGCATATAATTTTTAAATATTTGCATTCGCGAAAGACCAATAGTGCCAGCGTAAGAGGTTTCTCTCTTCCTAAAGTGGAAAATGTGTTTCTCGTGTAAGTCCAATTTTGACCTCGACTCCGTGAGAGAAATAAAGGCATAGAAAAATAGCAAAGATGCCCAGCTTTCTAGAACGAAAAGCGAGCCATCTCTTACGGCGCACGGAGCAATGAACTACAGACCAGGAGAATGAACACTCGCTCTCATCGTAAGCGGTTTTGGTCAATTGACGCGCTGACCACATCTGTGTAACAGGCACTCGCTTTGGTGTTTGCTATATTCGTCCCACATAATCAGCCCCTCTAATGGCACAAGCTTCATTTTCCCATGTTACACTTAAGAAACTAGGAGTCGATGCAGCCAACGAAAATATCCACAGCCACGAGACCCAAGGTCAAGGTGAGCTGTGAGCATGGTGCTGAATAAGGCTGCAGTGACACAAAGGGTGAGTGTAGCGTTGGGCTCTGACAGAAGCTCCAGATTCCAGATTTATTCCTAATCTCTAGATTCCTGATTTCTAATCTTGGAGGGAGAGGTGAGCATCCATCCAACAAGGCTGCATGCCATAAATTCACAGCAGGGGTTATACTGAGGGGGCGGGGAGGGGGGCAGAGGGTAGGACAGGAGATTATGTAAGTAAGTAGAAAGCAGATTACAGTGGGCTTTGATTTATCATTGGGAATAAAAATATTTTATTCAGTAAATGTCAGAAGGTTAAAAAAAAAGAGAGGATTATAGCTGTCAGTTCTCTGCGGGGCGAAACTGGATCCCTTCTGTTCCTTTAGTAGGTAAAATGGACAAACCTCAACACCAAAAACGCAAATAGATTGCCTGCAGGGCCCCTGCAAATGCAGATTCTACTGCCCCCCCACGCTGAAAGCCAGCACCCCTACCTATCAAACACGCCTACCAAAATAAAACCGAAACCTATAGACACAGACACTCTCTGGGGGTGGGGGGATTAATAGCAACATATTTTCTCAAACAAAGCATTTTTGTTTTAAGCAAAATTTTCCACTAACCGTAAATCAAAAAGCTCTGTCATTAGAAAGAAAGATCTGGGGTAATAACAAGCAAGCACGAAAGATTATTATGATTGCAATGATTTTTATTATTATTACTGAAGACAGGATGTCATAAGATGCTTGGGAAGATTAAAAAGATAATCCATGTAAAGTATTTAGCAAAATGCACTCAGCCGCGGGGGAGGAGAGAGTCCACTGTTACTATGGATGTTACTTTGTTGCTGTTCCATTATTATTGTTTTTAGGTGGGAGGAATAATCCTGGACTTAAAACCTCCCAGCTCTTTTGCATAAGGCTCGTTGTACACTAACTGGTTTGATCTTATTAGTGAGGCTCAGAAAAGGGGCCCACCCTGCTTTTCTCTCTGGGTGGGTGGTAGCAATGTTTCCACGTCTGCCAACATGACGGGTTTGCACCGCTCATATCTCTGGTTTGATTTCCTTTCATCGGACGCTGTTCTTCCTTTACGGTGAACTGCCTGTGCGCTGTCTAATTTCTATTCGGGACTGCATAGCTTTTCCCAGCGTATCATTTGTTTTTTTGAATGTATTCATGACGTTTCTCCGTGCGGAAATTTTCTGCGTCTACACGTTCCCCGCAAATGTGTCTCTATGTCCTTTTTGGGTCTGAGGTTTCCTGTTCTTCTTAAAACAATCCCAATCGCCTTAATTTCTGCAGCTCCTCTGGGCTTTTGCCTTAATCAATCAGCAGTCTCCATACTATTTCACCTCTACAAAGAACTTCTAAAAACTCCGACTCACGGCATCAAGGATGTCGGTAAACCTCGGATTAACTAACTCGGCCACTGTGTTGAGGCCAGGTGTGCGTGTACACTGCAGTATCCACCTCTGTCGCTCACCTGGAATGCTCTTTGAGCAGGTGAGCGATGGAAAAATACAAGAATCCAGTGCATTTCAACATCCTGCCTAGGGGCGAGTTCTTAGATGACAATACCCTCCACCCGTTAAGCTCCTCGACAACAAAAATAAAGCACAGTCCTTGCAATAAAGTCTTGTTTTGGCTCAAAGCCAGTCAAATCAAGAGTTAAAATACATCAGGAGAGAAAGACTCCAGCTTCTAGAATCGTCACTCTAACCTCCAGGAAGGATCAGACAGCGGGACTTTTGTAAGCATGTAAAGATTACATCCTGTATTTTATTGGTTTTACTAGATGAAACATGAATGCCAGTCAATGCAACTTTCAAAGAGTTTATATAAGTTCAATCACTTTCCCCAGACATGATGTGAATGACGTTTTCAAAGTCTCTCTCTTTCTAGCCTTTTGATTTTTTTTTTTTTCCCCTTAAAGGAAAATCATTCTTCAAAGGCTTCAAGTAAAGACAACACTTCATTCACTCAAAGACAACCCACAAGACAGGGCGGGGAGGGGTAGAGATAAGTGAAAACTAGTTATCCAGATACAACCATCTGAAAACAGAAGAGAAAATTATAACAGATCCCGGCCTTTTTGTTTTTTTTTTTTTTTTTTTTAAACATAACCAGGTATCAATCTGCAGTTTCAGAAACACTCCAAATTACCATGCAAGGGCAGGTCAGAACATCTGAAACAGAACTGGCCCAGAAAACCCAGTACAGACAGAACCTTTGCCCACCAACGCTACGAAACGCCAAAGCATTAGCTGTTACTCTCGACTGACGATTTGGTTTTTACATTAAACGTGTTTGTTTTTTTTTTTTTAACACGTAGGAATCCGTGTCAACGAAAAATATCTTCCTATTCTTTTGGAACCGCGGAATGACATACTCGATTTCGTTGATGGTCGTGAGGGTGTCTTTTTCCAGCTACTGCAGGAAGTCAAGAGAGGAAACTGAGGCCAGGTATTTATTTCCATGGCTCGGAGCATCTTCTGAAAAAAAAATCTTTGCTAGTGATCATCTCGACTGTGTACTTCCTTCAAAATACCTCTCGGGGATCTTCGATGCCTTTTGGTCAGTGAGAGAACCCACCCTGAACAGGCCACACAGACTGCATGAGTCCAGCTCTAGGACATTCTGGAAAAGGCTGAACCCATGAAGACAGTGAAAAGACCAGCAGGGAGAGTTAGGCTGAGCTGGCGGAGCACAGAGGATGTTTAGGGCAGGGAAATGATGCTCTGTGACACTTGAAGGGTGGATGACCTGTCACTACACGTTGGTCCAAGCTCACAGAGGTACAACACGGAGAGGGAACTCTAATGTGACGTACGGACTTGGGGTGATGATGACAGTTCATCGATGGTGACCGATGCCCCTCTCCGGTGGGTGGTGTTGACAGTGGGGACCGGGCTGTACGTGGATGGGGAGCAATTTATATTTATGCTCCGTTTTGCTGTGAACCTAACACTGATCTAAAACATCAAGTCTACTTAAAAGGAAAAACAGCTCTAGGTATATATTTTTTGTTCATAAGTGAGATTTCTTTCAAATACGGTGAATCATCATCAGTCAGTAAACGGCCTTTTTATTTGCATTTCCTCCCCCCCGAAAATTTTCCCTCGGGCTTCTACAAATACCTCACACAGAACTGAATCCTGGAGGAAAACAACATTTGCCCATAGCCCGCCCCGCCTGCAGCACTGGGATGCAGGCCTGGGCATACGACCTGTCCTTAGCTGCGTCACACCTGGCAGCTGGCTTGAGGAGGAGGAGCTCAGCTGCTTTCCTTCCAACCAGCGCATGTCCCGTGACTGACACAATGCCCATGTCTCTTTTAAATTGTTGCAAACGTTCCTTCTTCCAAGAAGCCTCTGTGGGTCCCCTCGCCTTGACGGTGACACGTCCTCATATTGCCCAGACTCTGGCAGCTATCAGAGGTGGTAAGAAATAACGTACTGGGGTTGTTTTTACTTAATGATCCTCGGTGACCACCTTGAATCCAGAGTCTACCTATTTCTCTCACTCACCATTGGCTCGCTTGTGACCCAGCAAAATATTACTGATTTTAAAAAAATAAGTGGATGGAATACGGAGCCATACAAGGAATTTAAACTTTAATCATTCATGAGGAGCTCAAAAGAATGAAATAAATAGGCTGAGCTGAAGAAATGTTTCATCTTCCCAGGGTGGAACTTTTAGGAAAATCGAGTTCATTATTTTGTTTCCTATAGAGAAAATGTTCAAGAGATTTCGCATGGTGATACCGAAAACTGGACAAAAAGTTACGTTCCGAATCAAATACAAATTATTGAAGAAATAACTGTGCTGACCCGTATTTTATAGATGGATATAATGAAACCCATCTAAAGAAAACGTATAGAATACAAGTGCCAGACTATGGCATATGGGAAAACGTTACATTTTTACTATGAATTTTGACAAGGATTATTCTGATGCATACTGCACGTGGGACAGCATCAGATAAGGGCAGATTTTTTCCCACTTGCTGTGGGAAATGATGGGACCCACCCCAGAATCGCAAGTATTGGCTTCTCTTAGGACATCTCAGGCCTTCCAACTTGAATCCCCTCCACGAGGATATAGAAGTCACTCATTTTTGTTACAGCTTTGAATTCGATACGTGTTCTGCAAACCACATTTGGGACAAGAAAAAGTGCAGATGAATGCCGACTGGAGAAGCAGGCGTGCTCAGACATCACTCGGGAGTCTTCACTTCACTTGCGAATTGTATGTGGATTGTAGGAATCCCAAGAACCTCTCACTGATCACCACTTGTCTAGAAAGTAGACCGAGGCTGATGGAGTCAACGATGAGTCGACTGAGGACAGGACAGGTACTGGGCCCACAGTCTGCTTCAAAGTGTGTCAGCGCTGTCCGCGAGGCGGGCGATGTCAGTCGGCCCAAAACCGCTTCTGTTTCCATCCCTTCCTTTGAAATTTCCTGCCTTTCACTTTTGTCATTTGCTTGTGTCTGAGCGACAGTGGGAAAGACACAAGAATTCAGAAGACAGGAAGGCACAGGGGAGGGAGCGGGTGGGACAGGGCAGACAGAAGGGGTCCAGAAAATCCCTGGGGTCTCCGGGCGTACATGTGAGATTCAAGGACTCCTTTCGAGTTTGACATAAAAGCACATTTTGTTTTTGTGGTCAACAGGTAAAGACAAACTTTCCGCCCTCTTTATCATAACCCAGCCACTCAAAACGCCATTAGCCGTCAGCCGCTCTGGGATCCCTATGGTGGGCGTCGGAACGCAGGGGTGACAGTTTCCGACACTAGAATACTGTGCTTAGTTATGTAGCTTTGGCTCAGTTGTCATAGCAACCACTAGGACTGTCCATCCTGGGATGTGGGTCCCCAGCAACATCTGAGCCCCCCAACTGTACCCTCGATTCACATGGATCGGAGACAAAGCACAGAAAGAACGTTTGGTAGAAATGAGAGGGACAGGTAAGTTCTGGAAGCCAGGTCAGAGCCTAGGATCCACTTCTGTGGACTTGGAAATATGTCCTTTCAACAACCCTGGGCAGAATCCTGACATCACCGTAACACAGAAGCTGACTGCCTCTGAAGTGGGGTGCATCTTGCCGTAGCTGTGATGCATTGTGACACGGTCATCGCTGGCCAGGTGGCGGACGCGAGTGGTCGTCAGCATTCCACACCTGTGAACGTGCCCGTGGCCGCACCTGCCGTCACCATGTACACTGAGTTATGTATGTCGATGGGTCTACACATGTGCTTACCTGACTTCTAAAATGCACTTAAAATAATTAGACTATGATTGGCATCAAAAGGGAAAATCGTTGAATGGACAAAAATGGGAGGGATACAAAGGCGAGCAATTTCTCATTGGAGGAAAGACCGAATTTTCGTATTTTCTTGCAACTAACAACCAACACCCTAGAGGATTCAAGCAAGGAATATGCCACAAGTAGATGACGCCGTGCTACGCATTAGGAACAAAAGGACTCATAATCTCATCAAAAATGCAAATGAAGGCAGACGACATCGCCACACCTCCTGGACCGGATGTATTACAAAGCAACGCAGTATGGCCGTGACCCAATGATGGTTCAAGAAATACCATCATTAAGCCATGTGTCATAATTTTATCGTTTAAAAAAAACAATTCTTAGGGTTGCATAAAAATGGACATCCTGGCGACAGCGTCTTCGATTCACCCAAATCTCTGACACGTAAGTTTACCCTGGCTCTCCACCGACCCACCTTCTTTGCCACATCTATACATCTCGGTGGCTACTCTTTGGGGGGGCAGCCCCTGCTTTCTCAAATCTGCATTCAGGAAATGACGAACGACCTCATTCTGAGCGACTTGTGAAACCGATAAATACTTTCTAGAAAGCGGGGACACGGAGCAGGGTACAATGAGCGCCTCTGGGGAGGTGTGCCCGCACCCTGAGCAGCCACGGCAAAGCCAGCATCGGCTTCGAGGGTCTGTCCACGGCACGTGCACGCAGAACGTCTACCGACGTGGGGCGGGCGGGGGGCGGGGTGGATTCTCCCAGCGACGTCGGAACTGAGAGGAGTCGCTGAAGGAAGGCGAGCGTGCGCATTGACTACAAGAACGTCACCGGGAGGGTTGGTGGTTGGTCCGGACCGCGACCTGAGGCCGGGGACTATGCGTTTGTGGAAATGCCATCGTGCCATTGTGTGATTTCCCTTGGTGATCACCCCGCACTGAGCTGACACGTCCGAGGACACACCTGTCTGAACGCTTGATGCGTTCAGAGCTAGAACTTTGCATAGTGAGGAGCCAAAAGGCAAGAAAATGAAGCTATTGACCAAAAAAAAAAAAAAAAAAGGTTAAATGATGCTTCGTGGGCTCTAGACAGGACCCAGCAGTAAACTAAAA